CTAGTTCTCTGGTATTGCCATCCACTGGTGGATTTAAAAGCCCTCCCCAGGCCCTCCAGCCGCCCACACCAGCAGCTCTGTTTACCGGCCAGAACACACCACAAAGGTAGCCTTGGAATAGAACTGTTTTCAAATCCTGGTTCCTCCAGCATGTGCTTGCTGTCACTCAACCTCTCTCAACATCACGAAGGTTCAACCCCTGGCAGCAGCTTCCATCATTCTGACTACTCTTCTACTGCATCCCAGTCTCTAGGCCACCCTTTTTCTCCCCAACCCCTGCCTCCGGGTCCTCTGATACTCCCATCTCCTTCCTGACCCAAGCAGGGTGCCTGGTTACACATTCGGCCCACAGAGTCCGTGGCGAGCATGAGCTAAGGAATGTTTTCACTGGCCTCCCCTTTTCAAGAACACTCACTGCCACCCTGAACCAGTACTTGACTCATGCAGGTGGCAGTGGCTAGGACTTGTTGAGGCTGAACATGGGCTGGCCTGATGGGGTGGGGGAGGGTTGTGCAAAGGTGGGAGGCACAGAGGGGCAAGGACGTCCAGGAGGCTCCACGTCCCGTGGCCCCGGACACTGTCTGGTTATCTTCCAGGGTAAACTCACCTCGAGATTTAAGGAGAAGCGTCTTTTTGCCAAAGCAATTCACCCACACCTTGGGGGGTGTACTGCAAGGGCCTCTTCAGCCCCCATAGAGGTAAACTGAGACCCCAGGACCTGGGAGGGGGTTGCCACCAGACAATGTGTGTGTGTTTGAGGGAGGCATCTACCAGACCCCCTGGGAGTCTCCAACCTCCTCCTTTTTGTTGCTTCCCTGAGCCTCTGTGCTGCAGCTATCCAGGAGCAAACAGCCATCAAGAACCCCCAGGAAGTCATCAGGCTGCCCGGAGGGATTTCTCTTTCCGAAAATTTATCTCCTGAGACAAGATCCTGGCTGAGCCTGGGGAGATGGGACCCCAGAAGTCTGTGATGTTCTGTGGGGGCTGGGGGAGCTGGGGATCGTGGAATTCGGGGCTGGATCAGGCAGAGTCTGTGCCCCAGGCCAAGAAAAGGCTCCAGGCTGCCAAGGGAGCCCTGCCTGCTGGTCACGGCCCGCCCCCTTACCTCTCTTGAAGGCCCACTGCTTCAGCCACAGCTTGGAGAGGGCTGGCCAGGAGTGGTGGAGTGCCGAGTTAGCCATGGGGTCCCACGCGTGCGAGAATGTGGGTGAACAGCAGGGGTTGAAGCAGGAGTTTGGCTGGGAATCCCTGCCAAGATGGGGCTGCCAGCAAGAGGGGCGGAGACAGCCACCAGGGGCTGCCAGATGCATCAGCTGATGGGAGCCTCGGGCTAGGGCAGGGGGGCTGGGGTTTCTGGCTGGGGGGCCCAGGGACTCCAGGCTGGGGGGAGGTCAAGCCCTTAGTACAACCACCCACGCCCTTCCCCTTTCCCTGACCCGTAAGCTTCTCACCCTGGCCAGATAAAACATTCCCAGGAAGAGCTGAAGATGGCAGTGTGAGTGGTGGTGACACTGGGGTCCTCAGGAAGCAAGTCTAGACCGGGTCCTGAGGTGAGCCTGCGTGTGCCTGAATGTCCGAGTGTGTGTGTGTGTGTGTGTGTGTGTGTGTGTGTGTGTGTGTGCCATTGTTTGTGATTTTTTTGGGTTTGTGAGTTTGCACGTAGAGTGTGTATTTTCATGTCTGTGAGTGTGTGTTTGAGTGCAAATCTTGAGTGTCACCTTGTCTATGTGGGGGTGAATATGAACATCTAGGTGGTCCCCCCCGTTTTATTGAGATAGAATGAACACACAGCACTATATAAATTTAAGGCATACAACACGACCTGACTAACCTATACTGTGAAATGATTGGCACAACAAGCTTACTTAACACCCACCACCTCTTATAGACACGGAAAAAAAAGATTTATCCAGAAAAAAAAGAAAAAAAGTCTTTTTCCTTGTGATGAGAACTCTTAGGATCTACTCTCTTAGCAACTTTTCCCATATACCACACAGCGGAGTTAACACTAGCCACCATGCTGTGTGTCACATCCCCAGGGCTTATTTATCTTGTACCTGGAAGTTTGTCCCTTTTGGTCCCTTCCTCCCGTTCTCCTTCCTCCCCGACCCCCTGCTTCTGGAAACCACAAATCCGATCTCTTTATCCACGCGTTGGGCTGCTGTTTTTAGATTCCACATTTTTAATTAACATATAATGTATTATTTGTTTCGGGGGTGCAGGTCTGTGATTCAGGAGGCTTCTTACACAATTCACAGCGCTCACCATAGCGCATACCCTCCCCAATGTCCATCACCCAGCCACCCCATCCCTCCCACCCTAGATTCCACATTTAAGTGAGATCACACAGTATTTGTCTCTCTCTGTCTGACTTATTTCACGTAGCTGAATGCCCTCAAAGTCCATCTATGTTGTCACAAATGGCAGGATTTCCTTCCTTTTTATAGCTGAATATTGTTATCTGGGCCTTTTAAAAAAATATCTGCCATCCTATGTGCGTCTGAATGCCCGTTGGTATCGTGGGGTTGGATCTACACGGCTCACCCGGGACGTGGGGAGATCTGTGTCTGATATCTGTGAGGGGTTTGGGCGCCTGCCCGGGTTTCTGCACGTCTGCACGGTTGTGTGCGTGTGAGTCGGGCGCATGGGGTGGGCGGGCGGGCGACGGTCAGCGCGTGGCCATGCCAGGGCTGCCCCCTGGTGGCCGAGCCTCCCGACTGCATCCTCACTCCCCGTGCTGAGAAATGGCTTTGTTCTCTGCTGACCCCCTCCTCTGCTCCCCAAATCCTTTGACCTCCCAGCCCCAAACCGCTGTCACTGGTGAGAGGGTCAAGGGCTTCTTCTTCCTTGCGTCCTGGCCCACCGTCGCCGCCTCGGAGGAGCGGGCTGTCACTCTTCGGCCTTCAGCGACCCTTCCAGAAGGGTTATCTGCTGGCCCACCTTTGCCTACTCACCCAATGGATCCCACAGCCCCTGTAATCTTATTTCAATCCCCTCCAGCCTTCTTGCTCTCTCTAGGGCCTAAATCCAATGGACATTTTCTGCCTCACCTTTGCTGGACGCCTCTGACCCCTTTATTTCTTGCACCCCTGCCCCCCATGATGCCACAGACTTTCCTTCCTGCACCGTCCTCGGTCTCCCTTCCTGCCTTGCTTGGCCCTTCTTTCGTTCTCTGTCTGACCTTTGAACTCCGTCCTTGGCCATTTCATGCCCCCCTTCCCGGCCCTGACGGCCCCATCTGCACCTCCCCAGTAGGTGAGCCCCAATCTGTCACTAACAGAAAGACATAAAAACACCCACGCTGTAAACAGCAGCACCCAACACAATCCAGCCCACAAAGGCAGCCGCAGACGTGCACACACTAGTCAGATGCACGTTCACACTTGGAAGCGTGCATGCGCAAGCACGCGCGCACACGGACACACGCGCACGCACGGACACGCGCACGCGCACACACAATCATACACAAACGGCCAGACTCCTACATAGAAGCGCGCGTGGAGATTTAACAGCACCGGCCCTCTGCTGTGCTCCAGGCTTTAATTCCTCACCTCCCGCCACACGCCTGTCCCTGGGTGGGCCAGGACGGCTCTTGGAGGTCCCGGACCTCTGCGTGGAGGGCATCTGTGAGAGCTTCTGTGGCTGCTGAAGCAAGGCTTTGGGACGGGGATGGTCTATGGGGTCGGGCAGGCTGACTGTGTTTTCCGAGCTCCCGGGGTGGGCCAGGCAGCGTGTTAAGATGTCACCTGCAAGGCCCGGGACAGCCCTTTCACAGAGGAGCAAACAGGGCCAGAGTAGTGAGGTGCCTTGCCTGTGGCCACATGGAGGCAGGGGAGCCAGGATCTGAACCTGCACCTGGCCGACACAACCCTGCCGTCATCTGCAGCAAAAGTAACGAGCACCGGCCCATGTCCAGCCCTGCGCCAGGCGCTGGGGGCCTGAGGGGACATGGGGAGAACAGCCCAGAACAGACACACTGATGTTTGTGTGCAGCTGACATTCCCGTGAAAAGCTTGCTTCTGCCAGGAAGCCCTCCCAGAGGGGCTCGTAGCGGAGGCTAGAAAACTCACAGGGGGCCGAGAGTGGGGGCAGCCCTCCCTGGGCCCTCCCTGCAGGTGACTGGGCCAGAGGAACACTCTGGAGAATCAGCCCCCTGAGTGTGGCATTCGAGGCTTTCCGCACATGCTCCATGCTCACCAGCTCCGCTCTCCCTGGCCCCAGCTCTTCCCTCCCAGTTGCCCCCCCTCCCGGCTGCTCCCAGCCTGCCAGACCCTCCGGGACATGAAGCCACCTACAAGCTGTGTGGCCCTGGGGCTGGGAGGAAGCAGGCCTGGGTGTGCCCTGCACAAACCACAGCCTTCCGCCCCCTTCGCCCCACCCCAGGCAGGCGGGTGTGAGGCTCCCCAAGGTGGGCCTTGGTGGGAGCCAGGGGGCGCCTCCCTAGCGGCCAGAACTCCACCTGGAGGGCGGCCCAGGAGGAGGGTCCTCCTCTTCCTCAGCTGACCTCAGAAGATTCGGGCGCACCCTCCTCGGGACTGGCTCAGACATCAACCTTAGGAAGCAGTGTTTGTTTTGAAAGTCAGACACCTGAGCCCCAGTCTCCAGATTCGGCTTCAGGAAGGCCCGGGGCGGGGGCGGGCTCCGGGGTCCAGTTTACAAAGCCTGCCTGGTGACTCTGCACAGGGAGCACTCCATTCACCCCCTAGCTGGGTCCCCTATGCAGGCTTTGGCTACAAGGGACCCCATCTTCCTGTCTTATGGGCTGCACGTGTCACAGACCCCAGCCCCCTGGGGTGACCTCTGCGGCCTGCAGACCTCTGCAGAGCAAACCCGGGGTCAAAGAGCCTTCCCTGCCCCCTCAGGAAGCAGGCTGGCTGCCAGGTGGAGAGAAACTGTGGGTGGTCTATCTGCTGCTCTCTGGACTCCCTCACCCCCCGTCCCGCTGCCACTCTGTCTCTGTTGGTCCCTCTGTCCCCCACGCCCCCGTGATGGTCACTCACCAGAGGGAGGCTTGTCCTCGCTGCTGTGGGTACCCGGCCCGGCCACCAGCTCCTACGGTCCCCAAGACCCACAGCTTCCAGGAGGCCCGGGGGGAGCACCGGCGGGTCGGGGCCCCCGGGGAACCGCAGGGTGACCCAACTCTGCCCCAGCTTCCTCTTCCTCAACTGCCTGCCCACCTGCTTGGTGCCTCTGTCAGCCCCAGCTGTGGGCCCAGGCAGGGGCCTGAGGACACAGCCCAGGTCGGGTTCCAGAAGCCGGGAACCTCCCCCACTGCTCAGACCTGTGCGTGCAGGTGTCCTGAGAGGTGGGGTGGGGAATGGGGCGGGGAGCCTCAGCACCCTTGCCCTCACCCCAGCGGCTTCCTGTGGAACCGACTGCTGAAGAGGAACAGGGTGCCAGGGCCTCACCCACGTACACGGGTGCACGGAGATGCACGAGACACAAGCCGTGTGTATCGGCAGAGGCGCAGGCACTCAGACCCCCAGGAACCCGCACCAGCGTGTGTGAGGGTACACACATGGGTCCCCACGGTGTTGCAGTCAATGTTCAACAACCACCTCTCTGACCAAAAAAAAAAAAAAATCCCTGATATGTAGCGTTTGCTGACTCCCGTGGTGTAAACAGTCCCACATAGCTGATTGCAAAGCCAACCCAATGCCCTTGAGCATGGAGTTAGGAGGAAACACTCAGACGTGGCTCCAGCACGTCAATGGAGTGGGTACTCAGGCACGTGGTTCCTGCACAGAGGCACGGGTCCCCTGCCATACGGGTACGTGGATACCTGTGGGTCCAGGTAGGTGTGGGGGTGCGCAGAGTGGTGCACCCGCAGAGACCCTCGGGTGCACGCGGGGCCCACCCAGGCTCCTTTATGCTCAGAGATAGGCGGATACACACGCACAGGGGTGTGCCTGCGACATTACGAATGGGGACACGTGGAACCACACGGGCACTTGGGAGCACACACCAGGAGGCCAGCTCGTCCCGGCTCACGGCGCCCATTGTAATAGGATCAGGAGTTTCGCAGGCTGGGTGTTAAATGCTGCCATCATAAAACAATTATATAAACTTACACTTAAATAAATCACGTCAAGAACGAAAGTAATAGCCCCTTAAATCCAACACCACGTACTTAATGCCACTGAACTATATGCTTAGAAATGGTTGAAGTGGGGGGCGCCTGGGTGGCTCAGTCGTTAAGCATCTGCCTTCAGCTCAGGTCATGATCCCAGGGTCCTGGGATCAAGCCCCGTATCGGGCTCCCTGCTTGGTGGGAAGCCTGCTTCTCCCTCTCCCGCTCCCCCTGCTTGTGTTCCCTCTCGTTGTGTCTCTCACTGTCAAATAAATAAATAAAATCTTAAAAAAAAAAGAAATGGTTAAAGTGGTAAATTTTATGTCACGTATGTTTTACTGTAATAAAATTAAGAAATTCAACCCTCCCAATTATTTTGCTTCATTTTTCTCTTATCTGTGCTCTCAAGGTTATTTACGACTACTGAATCCATTTGGGGGCAATAGTGGACAGTGGGGTGCTCCTGTGCATCTCTTCCCAGCCCCAAGGTCAGTGACATCATGCTGGTACCTGGAAATGGGCCACGGTGAGAGACACTGACACCGTGGGAACCGGCAAACACCACAGATCAGTGCCCACGGAAACATACAGACACAAGACACACGTAGGACACAAGGAGACAGGGAAGCACAGAGATTCACATGGACAAACCCATTCTGTGACCATTACTGAATGCAACACACATTTATCGAGCGCCTACTGTATGCTGGGTCTTTTTGTGGGCAGGGGATTATGGTGAACAGGGCAGACACAACCGCCTGCTCTGGAGAGGGGGAGGCAAGCTGTGAGGCAGGAAACAGACCCACCCTGTAATTAATTGCCGTGAAAGGAAGCAAACCTTGTGATGTGACAGAAAGCGTGTCAGGGTGGAGGCTGCATTCGCGGGGCGGCGGGGAGGGGTGGGCGCCAGGGAAGGCCCAGAAAGAGCCAGGTGTGTGAATGAAGATCTGGGACATTGGGTGGGGCAGGAACTGCAGGGGCAAAGGCTAGGGGGCAGGACTGAGCTTGGTGTGTTTGGGGAACGCCAGCGTGGCGGGAGTGAGGCTTGGAGGGGGACAGTCCTGGAAAGTGAGGCTGGCGGTGCTCGGACCGGCAGGCCCTTGGGGCCCAGACTGGAAGCACGATCGAAGGGCGTCATCGGGGTGGGGGGGGGGTTAAGACGGGAATGAAGGGGCAGAGGTGGAAACAGGGTGGCTCAGAGGGTGCCAAGCCCCAGAGACCCACCCAGATGCCATCACTGGCTGGTGCCGGGACGGAGGGTGAGTTTAGAATCCTTGCCCGGGCAGGAGATGCTCTCTCTGTCCCCGTCTCTCCCCACCTCCATTTCTCTCTGCCTCTTCTTCTGGGCTCCCCTGCTGGAATTTAAATTCTCTCGGGCCTCTCCCCATCCTTGGCTCCCTATCCTCCTCTCTCTCATGGTCTGATCTAGAGAATCCTCTGCCCTGCTCTCAGAACGGGCTTCCCTGGCCCTCTGCGCTGGACTCCATGCCGCTGGACTCCATGCTCACTGCCCTGCCCCCACCGCTGAGGTCCCCAGTGGCCTCCTGGACACTGACCGCGCAGCTGTGTACCCCTGTCTCACCTCCAGGGAGATCCCCTCTGCCCGAACTACCCTCTTCTGCTTTCCTTGGTGGTAAAATATACATAACGTAACATTTGCTCTTCTAACCATTTCTCAGCGCACAGCTCAGCGTCATTAAGCACATTCACGCTGTTGTGCAATCATCCACACCATCCAAGTTCTCCAGAACTTTGTCATCTCCCTGCAAGTGGGACTCTGTCTCCGTGAAACACTGACTCCCCACCCGCACCCCTGGTGTCTCCTATTGGACTTCCCGTGCCCCTGAACTTGCCGTCTGGGTGCCTCCTCTGAGTGGAGTCAATTTCTGTCCTTTTGTGTCTGGTTTATTTCACTGAGCGTAATGCCCTCAAGGTTCATCCGTGATGTAGCAGGTGTCAGAATGCCCTTCCTTTTTAAGGCTGAGTTATATTGCATTGTGTGGATGGACGCATTTTGTTTATCCATTCATCTGTCAATGGACATTTAGGTTGTTTTCCACCTTTGGCCATCGTGAATAATGATGCTATGAACATGCGTGTGCAAATGTCTGTTGGACTACCTCATTTGAACCCCTTTGGGTATATACTGCTGGAGAGTTCTAACTCCAGAGGAAATGGACCCATCCTGCTTTTAGCTTTAGGAGACGGCTTTCTTCAGACGGTAGCTGCTAACACTGAAGTGGCCACTAGAGGACAGTGCTTCACCAGGGCTTCTCCTCTGGCCAACCCAAGACCGCAGTGAGAAAAAAAAAACACCCCAAACCAGGCAGGGAATGCAACGCGGACCGCCCAAGGGCGGGGCCGTGATTTAGTCAGCGATGGACACCTGTGTCCGTTAGGTCTACCTTTCTTTTTCTCACTTTTGATAGAGATGTGGTTGAGTGAAATATTTTCTGTGCTGCAGGAAAAAAATTTCCAGATGTGTTAAAGGGCAAATGTAAAAAACACCCCAAAGTAATACAAATTGTAGAAGGAATTCACACAGCAATTTTTACACTTTGGTTTGAAAAGCTTTTTTCTTTTCTTTTTTGTTTACTTTTTGTTTTTAAACTGAGAGGAAACTCAGAAGGCATGAATGACAAGACAGAAATATCTGAATGTATATAAACTAACACAAATGTAGGAGGGAGGTGTTATAAACAAAACCAATAAGTAAAGCTCAGTTAGTTGTCTGTGAGGCCTTAGTACCTTCATATAGAAAGGATTTCTATACATTGATAAGAAAAAGACTAACAACATAAATAGAAAACTGAGAAATCACATGAAGGGGTATTTCTGGAAACCAAGAGCCAAAGAACATATGAAAATATGGTCCTCAGGAGCCCAGAGAGTGTGAATTTCGGTAACAATGGCTGTCACTTCACACCCAAGAGAGTGTCATCAACAAGAGAAAAGAGAGACTGTATATCTGATTACCATCTCATTGTAGATGAAATTATAGGGGACATCAGAAAATTTGTGAAATTCTATATATTTAATTTATCTATGATTTCCAATATTTTCTAAGATTGAGCTAAAATTTCCATCATAAAACACGTAAACATGTGATAAAAAAAACATTAAAAAGTGATAACACTTATTGCCAGCAGAGATGCAGAGAAAAGAGCAGTGACGCTTATTGTCATACACAGATATTCCTTGACTTGCAGCAGGGTAATATCCAGATAAACCCATCATAAGTTGAAAATATCAGAAGTGAAGATGTATTTAATATACCTAACCTATCAAATAGCATAGCTTGGCTTAGCCTCCTGGAGACATATGCAGAACACTTTTATTAGCCTACACTGGGCAAAACCATCAAACACAAACCTCTTTTATAATAAGATGTTGAATATCTCATGTAATTTATTGAATACTGTACTGAACCTGAAAACCGGAATGGCTGTCAGTGTATACATTTACAGTGTTGTGCAATAGTTGGTGTATCGATGGTTTAAATTTCTGATCTTATGGGAGCCGCAACTCACGGCCAGTGCCCAGCATCATGACAGGATCATACCACATATGGCCAGCCTGGGAAAAGATCAAATTTCAAAATTCGAAGTACAGTCTCTACTGAATGCATATTGCTTTCACACCATGGCAAAGTTGAAAATTTGTAAGTTGAACCACGCAAGTCAGGGACTGTCTGTATTTAGAAACTCTTCCTCTAATGTGAACAACCATAAAGGGTCACAGCCTTAGCAGCCCCCACTCTCTGGTCTCTTGTTTCCCGAAGTAGACCTTACACTCTAGGATGTGCTTACCATTTCTCACCACATTTCATGAAAGACACAAGGAGGAAAAATATCCAGTAGGGTCTCATTTTCTGAGTACGGGCCTCCCTCTTCTTTCAGTGTTTAAAAAGTGAGGTAGGATTAACATAGAGTGAAATTCTATGTACAGTTCTGTGAGTTTTGGCTAATCCTTATTCTCATGCACCCAACACCATGATCAAGATATAGAACGATTCCATCGCCTCCCCAAATTTCCTCCTGCCTTTTTGTAGGCATTCTCTTTCTTTCCCTCTGGAAATCACTGAATTCTCTGTCCCTGGAGTTTTGTCTTTTCCAGAATGTCATATTGATGGAATCATACAGATGTTTAGCCTTTGAATCTGACATTGTCCACCCAGCATAATGCATTTGAGATTCACCCATGTTGCTATGTCTTCCTTCCTTCCTTCCTTCCTTCCTTCCTTCC